TTTCAATTATTCTCCAATGAAAGCGTAATCGCGAACAATGATAAAATCAATCAGAATGCCTCCCAAAAAAGGAAATCCTTGATGTTCGCATAGACGCAACGGTAATCGCTGTTCTCCTCGATCTTTAATTACTATGGCCGCGATCTTTCTTATTTGTCGATGTAGATCTAGATTACTATAAATAATGTAATTAGTCATGGATAGCGATGTGGAGGGAATTATGGGCGACCTCGTTGCTCAAATTGTCGGAGGCAGAATTCGCTCGAGTGTGGAAGCTCACGAGAAGAATAGAATATTTATTTACCATCTCAGAAGGTTACAGGTATGTGTGAGACGAAGGTCTTGAATTCGCAAAGCAAATATCAACATAGCGTAAACAGTATCTAGCATCTATATACATTAGCAGCGAACAATCTAATATAAGCAATGACTAGCAAGAATTTTCTCTCTAGAAGATACACAATTGATTAATTTCATCAAAGATGTAGTTTTGTGAGATTTTACATGTGAGGAAAGAATATTTTTGTTGAAATATCTAAAACTTTGTTCAAATAAAGATTTGAAAATAATTTTATCGGAACATTCAAGTTTCCTAAAACATCAAAAATTATTCATTATCATCATGCTTGGTTAAGCATCCCTGTTTCACGTTGGGCCTTCAAAATTATTATCTATGGTGTTCAAATTGATTGCTAAAAGATCAAAAATTTTTGTTTTATTATTATGTTTATGCATTTTACACACAATAATTTTGACGATCTAACAAAATTATTTTTAGATCTGTATCTGGCCAAATTTTTAAATTTGTCAGTAAAATATTCTCTTGACGTAGTACAAAAAATACGTATAGTTACGTACACCCTCAATTAGTAGCGTTTTAATTAACTAGGCCATTATGATTTTAGTTATTTTTTTAAAAATATCTTCTAATTCTTTTTGATCTTGCTTTAGCGCGAAAAAAATATGAAAATTTTTCATACATCTTTGAAAAATGTAGTCTGATATTGTATTCGAAAGAATTGTGGTGCTATAAAAATGCACGTTTATCGCAGAAAATATCTATTCGATATTTGAAAGCTGTTTGAAAGCAAAACCTACCCTGGAAAGTAGCATCTAATCCTGGTCGTCAGAAATGACGATGAAAGTGCGAGTGAGATCAAACACCGTAAAATCAGGAAAAAGAAGTCTCACCTGCATCGCGAGACTTTCGAAATTAGCGAAGCAACAGTCGTGACGATATATCATAATAATAAATTATAACTTTGCTACTTCTCATTAGTTTCTTGACGGCTGAGATAGTTTCACTTAGAAGAATGTGAAATATCTCCGAGAACGAAATAAGTATTTACGTTTAATTTATAAGAACTCATATTTATAAGATTTCGATATTTATAAGATATTGAGAAAATTTATTAATCCGTTGCAAATAAATATTT